TGGGTTGGGTCTTTGGTTTTAATTGTGAGCCTCCCAGAGTCACCCGTTGGGGGAGATGGGCGGCATACAAATTAAATAAATAAATAAGATGGAGGAAAGATCAATCACAATTGCATAAATAAAAGGAAAGAACACATAGGAGAGTTATGGACAATCATATTTTGGACTTGAGTCTTCAAGTGATCTCTTAAAGATCCAGGTCTTTATTGCTTCAGCTACTTACTGAATTAATTCATTCTTTTTGGCTTTACACAATACAGTGCACCAAGCACACTGGGTTTCACACAATACGCTTCTCAAAATATTTAGCCAAACCCTGGAAATTTCACCCGTTAATTCTTGTCTTGCCCCTGGAGAAAGAGAGACGATTATTTCATCTTCTGCATGACAGCTCCCAGATATCTTCGGCAAGAAGGTGGTGAACTCTCTATTAAGAATGGCAGCATTATTGTGGCTAAGATTTTGCAGAATAAGAGATTGTGGTTAAAAATTAAGGGCTGAAAGAAACCAGGGGTCAGTTTACCAGACCCCAAATGACACTGAATGTTGGCCATCTTGCATGATAAGAGATTTTGGTAATCCCATGTAAGATCTCACAAGATTTAGAAGAGGGATACGCAGGATCAACTCCTGTATTAGAGAAATGTAGAAGCCACCCTTAGTGTGAGGAGAAGATACTGTGCTTGTGCGCAAAAGGAAAAAGAATAACAGAAATTTTAAATAACCTTCAGAAGAAAGCCAAGTGAATAAAATAAGGATAGGGTTGATCTTGTGGGTAAAGAGCTACGATTCTGTGGAAAAGGGAGTCCGCGTGAACAAGTAACACCAAAGATTGGTGCGTGTTTCGTTTCTTTCATAAACAAAGTCATCTAACATGTAATGTGCCAGTTGTTGAGGAATTGTCAGCCCAACAAGGTAGATCAGATTAAGAAACCCTGTAGAGGTCAGGACTACTTTTTTAACAAAAGCTATAGTAACAAAATTTTACTTCTTATTATACTTATTATACTTCTTACTATAGTAACAGAATCTTACTTCTCCTCTATTGGTAACAGAATCTTGCAAGTTTGAATGTGTTCCCCCCCCCCCCCCCCTCCCTTCCTCCCTCCATCCCTCCATCTTCTTGTGAACCAGGGAAGGGCTTGTCTGAGACATTTTCTCAAGTTGGTCTGGCCTCAAGCCCTGCTGATCTGGCCATTGCCTCGGTAGCAGCTTTCTTCCTGTCCTTCAAGGCCACTCCCTATGTTCTCTACAGGAATTCATTAAACTACCAGTGATGATTTGGGCCAGCCCTGCCCAATATAAAACTCACCAACTTTGACTACCCCACTACAATGAACATCTCACCACCAAGATCCTAGATTTTTTAATATCTCAGTAGGATTCATAGGAAGCTCTGATATGCCATGGCAACAATATAAAGCAATTCAGAAAATCGGAAAGGGGGCAAATACTTCTTCACAGAACTAAAATGTCAAGGGAATCCA